TTAGTTGTATTGTCAGCATTATGGCAGTTGGCAGCTGCTCTCCACTTAATTGCCTGCGACCAGGAGTAGGACAACAGCCAAACGGTAGCCAAAAACATTTTGGCTACGAGCTGCCTGGCTGATTAACTAACTGGATGGCTGACTAACTGGCTGGCTTACTGGCTGGCTAGCTGGTTGTTTGGTTTTTGTGTTGGATTTCCTCGTATCAGCGTCCTTTGATTTGCATATATTTCGGTTTTAATTAGTTAACAAGCTGCTTTCGTTTGTTGCGATTGCATGTTGAACCACGACGCATATCGTAGATGCTACAGGTATCTGCCACAGTCGCAGTCGCAGTCGCAACCGCAGCTACCACAGCCACAGTTTCTACTGCTGTTGCATGCAACAGAGGCGAACTCCAGGCCAGGAGAGAAACAGCGAAACGTATAAAATCAAACACGATTTTTAGCAGTTTTCAATTCCCGGAAATCTTGTACGATATGTTGCACCACCACCACCACCACCACCAAGATCACCAGCAGCAGCAGCCCAGTTGGCTGGGCTATGGCGGATTGTGTGGATGTGGATTGTTGTGGCAATGGCTACTTCGCCAGCGCCAGATACGATTCCAGTATCGTGCAAATGTTTCATTATTTAACAGATCTCAGCCAGAGAAAGAGAGAGGGAGAGAGAGGCAGAGAGATCTTATTGGCTGCCCGGTCCAGCTGGCTGCCCTTGGTCTGGCTGCTCTCGCTGCTGCTGCTGCTGTCGCTCCTGCTGCTGCTGGGAATGCGAGTGTGAAATAAGGCGACAAGACAAACTTGAGCGCAAAAATACCAACGAAAATTCCAAGATGTTGTCATCAATTAAAGCAAGCGTTGGCAGCAGATGCTCCGACGCAGCCTCACACCTGAGCACTTTATTAGTGCAGCAATGGGGATTGAGCTGCGACTACTCCTCCTCCTCCTCCTACGATCCCTGCTCCTGCCCTGGCTTTGGCAATTGCTGCGTGAATTATGGTTCACCTATGGCCTAGTGCTGCAGCCGGCTAAGGCAAATGGCGCAGCCGATAAAAGACGATAAATCACAAAAGGCAGACGAGGCCAAGATTCTCCAGCGCCAAAGAAACAGAGTGAGAAAGCCAGAACGAGAGAGAAAGAGAGAGAGAGAGAGAGAGATTGAGAGAGTGAGGCACACACTTGCAGCTGAAGGTGGAAATCAAGCATAGGCGGGCGCTGCTTAAGCTTAACTTGGTCAATTCAGCAGAAAAGCCAGTGAAACAAACTTATTTGCATTTGCCTGGTTGTCAGGCCAAGTTGTTGTCAGCGTATCCTCTTGTTATACCCTGAACCCACTCAATATTCCCAAAATGGGTGTGATGTGTTTGCGCAAACTTTTGTAACAAGCGGTGTATCTTCGATCCCATAAAATATATACATATATTCTTGATCAGCATCAATGGCCGAGTTGATCTAGCCATGTCCGTCTGTCTATCCGTCCGTCCGTATTTATATATATAAATATACATATATTTGAGTCGGGCTGAGTCCATCTAGCTATGACTTGATTTTGAAATATATATTCCATTCGCAGAACGGGCTTATCTTCCTTTTTCGCAAAAACTTCTCCCATTTTTATAATATCTTAAAATATTGATTTTAAAACTTGTTTTTTTTTTAAACATAATTCGAAGAGTTATGTGTCATGCATTTAACTGGGTGTTTATTAATGCTAATATAAAATCTTACAATATTTGAGATCCTCGAAAATTAAAAAAAAAATAAAAAACAGAAAAAGGCAACCAATTTATGAAGATAAGGCCTTGCGCTTTGGTATAGACACAGTGTTGTAAGCTTACTATTTATAGCTGCAGCTTGGAGCTGGCTGCAGGATATCTGCTTGTCGAGCACGCCCGACTAGAGCACTCTTACTTGTCGTTGTTTTTGGCGATATTTGCTACTGACAGCCCAAAAAACATGAAAATTGTTGCCCACGAGTCTGCCAAGTACGCCAGCCAGCCAGGCAGTCAGCCAGCCAGCCCGAGTCCAAGTTCGAGCTTGAGTCCAAGTCCCAGTCTGGGCTCGGTCTTTTGTTCATCTTGTTAAGGTTTGAACTTTATGCCTGCTGCTGATCTTGTTCTTGTTGTTGTTATTGTTGTTTGGGCTTATTGTTTTAGCCAGCCTTTCCTTTTTTTTTTTTTTTTTGTTTTTTGTATTTTGGTTCTTTTTAGTGCTGCAATTCCAGGAACTTTTCAGGTGGCACAGCATGTTGGGCACAGACACACTTCTGGTGGGCCCAGCATTGTGGGGACCCACAGTGCTTGCAATTAAAATATATTTAGGCATTATAAGGCAAAAGTACAGCTGGCAGCTAGATATAATATCCGATATAATATCTGATATATGTGATAAGCTTTATGTATTGTATTGACATTGGCTAATTAATATATTACTAATATATAATGGTTTGGGTCTGCGCATATTTATGGTCAACACCCCGCCCAGCTTTTGGCTTTGACGGCTTTATATCAAAGGAGTCACGCGGCTGACTGGCTCACTGGCTAACTGGCTGTTTGGCTGACTGGGTTGGTGGCTGGCGTCGGCGTCTGTGGCGCATACAAATCAGCGCGTTCCCGTTCAGCTTATCGCTGGCCTGCAAAAATATTTAAATGTTGCTTGCCAACAACATTTGATTTTTGCCTGTTTTTTTTTTGGCATGTTTTAATGTCATTATATAATCAGCACAAGTCGCACAAAAAATCGCATAAAACAGCTAGAATTTTAGTTTTGTTTTTTTATAGCCACAAAACATAATTGAAATTTAGTTTCTGGTTAGGTTTTTTCTTTCGTGTATGCGTAATGTTTTGTTATGTTTATGAAAATTTATGAGCTTGTCCAAGCACGAGCACAAGCAACCCGTTGTCGCTGCTGGATTTGGCCAAGTTATGGCCACTTATGTTGTTGTGGCTTGCGGCCAAGCAGCAAGCGAACCAAAAAGGCATAGCAGCAGCTGAGATGCTTATCGGCGCAATGTTAATTTCCAGCATTTAAAAGTGTAATTAACTCAATTTGAATTATTTGAGGTGGACGCGCAGGGCGGGAGGGGGGTAGGGGGTTAACCAAAACAAAAGACTTAGGCAGCGAACTTGTTGCGCAGTGCACGCGGCTGCGGCCGAAAAGGAAGCAGGAAACCAACAGCCCAGGCATGAGAATATTTGCTTATGAGTCACACGGCTCGTGTCGCAGTTGGCTCCTCCTCAAGTAGCCGCAGTCAGTGCACTTGGGCCCAGGCACTTGACACGTATTCCTGGAACACGGCCTCTGCACACAGAATGCCTAATTAGCCAGCCAGGCTATTCGTTGCTGCTGCCAAAGGGCTCCGGTCTGTGTTGGGATTCGGCTTCGGTTTCGAGCAGTTAGGAGTATTTATGCGTTCAGATTCGTTCGCATTTGTGGCATCGATCAATTGTTGACTTGCTCCGACAACTGGGTGGCCAACTACCAGTCTTGTGCAGCGCCTCAAATGCGGCTATAAATTATATTCAACATACGCTCGGAATAGCTGATGACCCTTTTGAGGGCCTAGGCTAACAAAATATGTTGTCACTTGTCGTTGATTCATGGGTCTGAGAGCAGTGTGCAGTGTTCTTATCACACTGGAACCATCACGAGTGCGCATGGAAAATATATAATAATGTGCACTTATGCCTATACTTATGTATACAAATAATAAAAATTACTTTGAAGTGTTTTTTAAATAAGATAAATATACAGAAATTACCCCACATCGTACGGGTTGAAAGAATAATGTTGAGAATATGCGCAAATTCGCGTTAACTTCACTCACACACAGCATTTGCCTATTTATTTGCCAAATTTAAATGTATTATTATAGCCACATTATTATAGCTATAGTAAATGAGCAAATATAAAAATGAAAGATCTTCTGAATTCGAACCAGCGAACTGCTACTTGCTAGTCCGACGCTCAGACACCTATCACCATGACGTCCTGTTCGCAAACTATTTGTCTGCGTTGTTGTACTCTAACATTCAACATTTTGTCCGCTTTCCCCTATGAGATCGAATTTTTCCGCAACCCTGTCTCAGTGATCACATTACGAAGTCAGTCAGTCAGTCAGTTAATCATTCTCTCGGTCAGTCAGTCAGTGAGGAAAAACAGTTTTATACAGAGTTTCTCCCAGTCAAGGTACGTATGCTATCCTATACGAAACAAAATTGAAAATAATCATATCTGTTTTATTTCCATTTTTATTCCTCATTCTCAACTTCTTGAAGCGCAGATCCTGACTTTTGACAGCAGAAAATGCTGTTCCTTTTTCCGCATATATATGGATATATAACACAAACTAATGCTAAAAGTCGACTAAGACACTCTCAAGCGTTTGCAAACATTTGAATTTCTTCACATTCCATTTTATATAATTAACGAATATAACAATAGTTTAAAATTGATCAATGAAATACATTTTCTTAAGATTTTTGTAAATTTTTAAAAACAGAATAATCATATAAGAATCAAAAATAAACAATATCGATTCAAGGCAGCTAATGAAATAGTAACGCCCAATTCTAATTTTCGGGCGAACTTTAATATATGTCATATAATGTCTTATTGCCGAACTTTAAGCCGTAGACAAATTGAGATGTTTGCCATATGAACATGTATCCTTATTAGAAATATTGCAAAGTGTATAGCTGAAACAATTTGAAGACCCATTTTATGACAACATTCCATGTGATCTTTAAAAATGCCATAAGATTGCCTACCCACACAAAATCATCGAGCTTCCTTAAAGGAATTAAGATCAATAGAAACACTTTTGACTTATCGTTACCAAAAGTATCTTATCTGCTCGTCTTATAGCATACTTTTTTCATTTGATTGCATACTTTAGGGCTTAGTTCAAAACACATACATACATATTTATTCTCGAAATATTTTCTGCGCATCTCACATACGAATATCATTGTCTTAATAGGATTCTTTATGCTTTAGCTGTTCTTTTATAATAGTCTTTATTAGTTTTGCGTTTGTTCGCTTTTTGGGCGTGTACTTTGTCAGTTAGATAATGTTGTTAGTAATTGGAATTGGTTATTAAAATATAAATTATAGTACATAAGCATGATTTAACCATGGGTGTTTGCGTGTGTGAAAGAGATGTCATACATAAAGCGTGCCGGCGCTTGCATTTAAAGTTAACGCTCACAAAATTCGCTGATACAGAAACAGAACAATAGGTATATGCATGTATCTTACACTGGTATCAATTATTATTAAATATTATTTTTTGATAATTATACTTGTTTCTTTAGCAATGGCATTTAAGCTTGCAAACATTCTATTAGTTGATTTTTGTTGCAAGTATGTACTTTGTATGTATATATTTTCAAACGTATTTCATTTTTAAAAAATTTTCGCTAAGCAAAAATGTAAACTATAAATATAAATATTTGCATATTTATTACATATGTAAATCATAATTTGTATTTGTATATCTCTATATATATATATAAAATGATAAAAAAATTAATAGTTTATAATCACACCAATAAAACACTAAACATAAGCCTAACTATTGTTCATACAAGCAACAAATTGATAGACACCAAATTCAACGGCTGTATGAGGTGAAAGCACATCATTATGCAAAATACTATGCGATTTCTCGCTGTGTACAATGGGATTGTATAAGTCAAGGGTATATATGTGTGTGTGTGTGTGTGGGTGTGTGTGTATGTTTGCGTTTTTATATTCAGTTTTATACAGAATCCGTTGGCTATTTTTCATTAGTCCTTTGTCATTTGTGAACTACAATTCGAGATTTTTGGTCCTAACGTCGAGTAACTCCCGCCCACCTAACGCGAATTCTATGCACTGCACCATCAACACTCGAACACGATCTACAATTTATCATACAAACACACATGCCAACAATCATAACGAGCCATTGCAATAACTTTTGCTCATTCAATCATTCTCATACATCAATTAACAGTCTACTTTAAATTAATATTCTGCAAATTAAGTTAGTTGTTCAGTGTGTATGCGAGAGAGTGCATCAATTTGTGTATATGTGTATGTGTGTGTATTGTGTGTGTGTGTGTGTGCGTGTAAATGTTAGGCTATAATCTAACGACTTTGGCTTTTCGAATGCTGAATTAACCACTGCAGCGTTATGTCGATGTTGTCCTTTTCCTTACACGAAATACTATAACAACAAATCTCCCGATCCTGTATGCTGGACAGATTCCTGCAAAGCAAGAAATATAAAGATATATAAATGTATATATGGTATATAGCAACCACTCACATTCGCTCAATGAGCCCGGTCTCATCGAGAGCGCCTGGAAGATCACGTTTATTGCCCAGGACGAGCACTGGAATGCCATTTAGCTGCGGCTTGTCTAGCAGCGAGTGCAGCTCATTGCGTGACGCTTCCAATTTGTCCAAATCAGCCGCATCCACCATATAACTAAAATACACAAAAGATAAGGGGGTAATGTGAGTGTACACAGAACTTAGATAAAGCTGAGTTTCTTACACAATTGCATTCACGCCGCGACAGTAGCGCTCCCACATGGAACGAAAACGTGGCTGGCCCCCTATATCCCACACCTTGATGGTCACGTTGCCTTTGGTGATTTTGCGCATATTAAAACCAACTGTGGGTATCATATCCTCTGCGAACTGACCGGACTGGGGGTGAGAAAGATATGTATAAGTAAATATTATACCCTTGCTAAGGCTTAAAAGATAAGTTATCACAAAAATACAGAATTTATGCGCATCAAGGCGGCAAACCAAAATGTTTGATGGTGCGGTTCAGAGTTGGAGCCCTTGCCTCGTCTTAGGATTCGATTGTTGAGACTTGTTTTTCATATCTATGACCCCAGATTTGGGGTTAAACGCTGGTTCTTAGATTTCTTACACTTGTCTACAGAACAATTATTCAATTTATTATAAATTAATAGCCCCAATGCTTAAAAACATTTCTAAATTCCGTATTATATATATTATATCATATTTGTTGTCTGCTCCAGGAATAGTTTGTGTGCAAGAAAAAGCATTTTTTTAAGAAAAATAAAGTTTAGAACAAAATTTGTACCTAACACAACTACAATTTCTGCACACAGCTGGACACCTGGTTCGTCTCTAGAGGTTACACTGTACAATTACTATAATAGTTCACCTATTGGCTGTGGGAGTTTAATTAACTTAAACATTCTAAAACGCTGCATGCATATGACTCACAACAAAGGCGTCCGCATATTATTTATTTTGTGTACAGCTTAGATGCCAGGTTTTAAGTCCGAATCGGTGCTTATCAGTAAATAGAGTTTATGAGCTTGGCAGACTATGTGCTGGGAGCTGATAATGTCGTCATTAATGCAAATATGTGTACGCCATGTATTGATTAACGCCAGACACAATAAATATAAGTGCTAAAAGAAGTTAACATAGCGTAAATTATTAACTCTGTGAAAATCAACAGCACAAAAAGCAATGAATACAAAAGTTGATAACTACGTGACGTTTTTAGAAACAAAGGCAAATCAATAGAAAACAGCCAAACAACAACAACGCTCGATTTGTCACTATTTGCGCCTGGCGCCCCGCGCTCCTCCTTCAGCCCGAGGCATTTAGTTTATTGGTTTCTTACTCTGGCTATTGCATTGTCATAGCCTGCGGCACACTGCTCTGCTGACCCCCGCCCGCAAAGAACAGCCGCCGCCCCACACACACTAATAATTTGCAAAAAAAAAAAAAAAAAAAAAAGCATACTCACTGCAATAACATTGACGAATGTCGTTTTGCCTGAGAATTGCAGGCCGACCAGGGTCAGTTCCATCTCCTCTTTCCAGAAGATGCTCTTAAACCAGTCCAGGATTCTGTTGATAAGCGCCAGCATGATTCTTCTGTTTTGTTAATTTATTTTTTCCTTGCAAATAAATGGCGTAGGCGAAACAGCAGTAGAGTTGTATCGGAACACGTTTAATCGAGCTACTGACTCAAATGAACGAATGACAATATTGTTCGTTCATCTAGTTCGCTACAAATATTTTGTCCGCCAAATTGGCACTGTTTTCTGTTATAGATTTTGCATTCTCACTTAACACAACAGTACCTAATATTTTTCGAGTGTATTTAACTGTTAGACAATGATATAAAAACTTGTTTCAAGCAGGCGTTCAACTACGAACTGAACCTTACAGCTGCGAACAGTCAAAGTCCAAAACAGAGCCAGCTGTTATTTAACAGCAGTACAATCATCGATGTCAATAATCGAATAGAAACCGTGTAATTCGTGGTGAATGGCAGTTCACGTTATAATTCTATCACTTATCGACCAACAACCACAATCTGGAACATAAACAATAAATAAAAATGGTAAGCAAACGTTTAATTAATTAAATTATTATAATTTTCAATAAAAACTGATTCCTTTCAGGCTAGAAATGCGGAAAAGGCAATGTAAGTATGCTGTATATTAGAAAAACATCACCTGCATTTTACTCGTACTTATTTTGCTGCCGGCAGGACAACGTTGGCGCGTTGGCGAGCCGCCAAAGAAGTCGAATCGGGTGAAAAGGAACGACGTCCTTACTTAGCTTCGGAATGTCACAGCCTGCCCAAATGTGAGAAATTTCGTCTGGAGATTATACGTGAAATATCCAAAAAAGTAGCACAAATTCAAAATGGCAAGTGATGTTAATTGTCTATGTAGAATCACTGTACTAACATCCAATTTGCAGCTGGCCTGGGCGAGTTTCGCATACGCGACCTCAACGATGAGATCAACAAGCTGCTGCGCGAGAAGCGCCACTGGGAGAATCAAATATCAGCGCTAGGCGGTCCACATTATCGTCGCTATGGCCCCAAAATGTTCGATGCCGAAGGCCGTGAGGTGCCGGGCAATCGTGGCTACAAGTACTTTGGTGCCGCCAAAGATTTGCCCGGTGTGCGTGAGCTCTTCGAACAGGATCCACCGCCTCCGCCGCGCAAAACACGCGCCGAACTGATGAAAGATATTGACGCCGAATACTATGGTTATCGCGACGACGAGGACGGCGTCCTGATACCGCTGGAGGAGAAGATTGAGCGAGCCGCCCTGCAAAAGGCGGTGCAGGAGTGGCGCGAGAAAATGGCACGCGATGGCCGCATTATTGACGAGGAGGAGGATGATGAAGAAATCTATCCGCTCTCAGGGCCAGCACGCGAAGCTGCCGAAGATGCCAAAACACGTGCTGCGGAAAATGATCCGCTCGGTCTGCTGGCGCCACGTTTCACTGCCCATGTGCCCGTCCCCTCACAACAGGATGTGCAGGAGGCGCTGCTGCGAAAGCGCAAACAGGAACTATTGCAAAAATACGCAGGAGTTGAAAATTAAATACATTTCTATAATACATTTCCTATCCTTTTTTTATTTAATGTATGTTTTATACACTGTAAATCTAGGAAATGATTGCATATGCTGGTTAAGTACATATATAAACTATAAATTCGAGCGCTTCAATGCGTTGTCTTGATTTGTTTAAAAAACAATAATCCTTGTTGCTGTAGAGCATAATACAAATTTTGTCAGATTTAATAACGATCACGACGGCCGCCTCCGCCACCACGTCCGCCGCCGCGTCCGCCAACAGCGCCACCTTCGGCTGCACGGCGTTGTTTCATGGCCGCAAAACGTTTGGACATGTTACGCAACTCTTCAGGCACTTCCTGTGCAGCCTCTTCCAATATGGTAATCAGCTCCTTGGCTACGCCCCAGTCGTCGCGTGTAATAAAGCTAATGGACGTGCCAAGGCGTCCAGCTCTGCCTGTGCGACCCACACGATGCACATACTCCTCAATGTTACGGGGGAAATCGTAGTTGATGACATGGCTAAAAGCAGACAGCAGGATTAGGATTTATATATGATATATACCTGGTACACTCACGTTATGTCCTCAATGTCCAGACCACGTGAGGCCACATCGGTGGCAATTAAAATGCGTACTATACCCGATTTAATATCGGCGATAGCCTGTTCACGATCGCTCTGATCCCGGTTGCCATGAATGCATTGTGTAGCGAAACCATCCAGGGATAAATCGCTGGAGACATCATCGGCGCGAGCTTTGCGACCACAGAACACAATTATCTTGTCCGTCTTAGACATGTTCTTAACAAACGATTTAAGCACATGGAACTTATCCCTGTCATCCTCCAGAAGTTCAATCACCTGCTTCACGGAATGCGTAGCGGCCAGATCCAGTGAGCCGACGCACACCTGTATGGGATTCTGCATATAGCTTTGTGCCAAGCGGCGCACACCCGGCGGCCAGGTGGCCGATGTCATTATGGTCTGCCTGTCCGGCCGTATGTCGAGCAGAACTTTGCGTATCTGCGGCTCAAAGCCCATGTCCAGCATGCGATCGGCTTCATCCAGCACCAGATAGGTTATCGACGACACATTGACAACGCCGGCCTGCACTAAATCATTTAGACGACCCGGCGTACAGATAATAATCTCAGCGCCACGTTCCACATCCGAAATTTGCATATTACGATTGCCGCCGCCGTAGATGCAAACACTGTTAAGAATGAAGGTAGCAAAGAAGGTAGATTTATAATATAGATGTCCGATATTTATGTGTTTGAAATAAAGTGAAGATTGCAATGGCTGCATTTAAGTAATATACTTCCAAGACAACAAAATTGTTCTTATTAAATGTCTATTTGTTTATAATGATTTACTTCAAATATAAGAAGAAACTACAAAGGTTGCTCAAGATATCTAAAAAAAAAAACAATTCTTTTATGCAAATATCTCTCTACTTCACGGATAGATCCTAGGGTATATGACCCTAGGTAGAGAGATATTTGCATAAGGGAATTGTTTTTTTTAGATGGTCCGGCTGAAGGATACGGATCCATAGACAGACTTACACATGCGACTCTAATCTGCTCTTTATCGACTCGCCTTTTGGATCAGATTACGAATCTATAGATACTTTATGGGCAGATGCCTGTTTCTGACATATTCAAATACAATGTGAATACGTTTTTCAAGGACATAAAGATAAGATTACAAAGGATTAAAGGAACCAAAAAAAACAAATGCCGAACTCACGCTTTCATTTGGCGAAAGGAATACTTCTTCACCTCCATTTCGATCTGGAGCGCTAGCTCACGTGTGGGCGCCAAAACCAGGACATTGGCGCCACCGCGTGTGCCACGTGGCGTGCTCTGGTATTCGGTGTGAATCATGCCGGGCAACAGAAAGGCGAGGGTTTTGCCCGTGCCCGTTTGAGCGATGCCAATCATATCATGACCCTTGAGCAGAATGGGCCAAGCTTGAGATTGTATGGGCGATGGATGCGCAAAGCCCTGCTTCTGTATTTCGCCCAGCAAATCGGGATACTCGGCGAAGCATTGCTCGAAAGTCCATACAGGATTGGGTATGGGCGATGGGGGTTCGCCTTCCTTCGGTTCAAAGACATGCGAAACACTAATATTGTTGTTCTCCATGCGTATACGTGCCACCTCTGCCTCAGACAGATTGGACACCTCCGGCAACTCTTTGTAGAAGTCCTTTATCAATTTCGGACATTTGGCCCAGCGTGCGGCCTCAGCTATTTTCTGTTAACAATGGTATGAATTCATGAAGTTGATGGCTAGTCATAGTTTAGCTGCGACTTACTGACGCCTTGTTCAGGGCTTCCCAGTCGATGGTGCCCGTCAAGTCGCCATCGGCTGCAGTTTCTGGTCGTGGTGCCGGCGCTGTAAACTCATAATTGCAGTGTCCACCGCCATTGCTATTATGGTTGGAATGACCATAGCTATCGACTCCTTCGACCGAACGACCGTGGCCACCACCATCATCAAAGCGACCGTAGCCTCCACCATGGGAACGCCCATAGCCGCCGCCTTTATCAGACTGGACATATCCTCCTTCGTTGGAACGGCTGTAGCCCCCTCCTCCTCCTGCTCCCATGCCGCTGATTTGCTTGCGTATCTCATTCACCGCATCGCTGACATTTAGTTGAAAATTACCAGACACCTTGACCAGTAGATCGACTTTATCTACATTGATGCGCACTGTGAAATCATTCTGAATGCGCGTTATATTCGAACCACCGCGTCCAATGACGCGACCCACCATATCCGTGGAGATTTTTAGCGATTCGCTGAAAGCGTGCTCGGCAGCGCTCTTCACGGAGCTGTTTCCATCTCTTTCATAATTATCGCGACGCTTGTTACTGTAACTCTCGCGATGCTCTCTGTCGCGTTTATTGTGGCTGTCGTATCTGCCGCCGCTGCGCCGACCCCGAGAATATTCATCGTTGTTATTTTCGTTATATGTTGATTGCGAGTACTTTGTTGGCTGCTCCACGTAGTTTGGATCATCCCAATCTAATTCAGACATTTTGCAATTGGAGCTGCTTTTTTTTTGACGTTATTTAAATCCTCGCTGATGCGAAATGAACAATTTGAGTACTTGCAAGGTCAGCGCCTAAACGGTAAATTCCCTTTGGTATAGCAGCCAAAATGGCGTTGAAAGCGTAATCCAAAATCTAAAACGCAATAAGCGTATCTCCACAGTCAGCTTGAGTCACAGTTATATGTTAAATGTAGCTGAGCTGTAAATAAATATTTTATTTATTAAAAATAAATACCTTTGTTACATATTACACACACAATTTCCAGCAAAGCAAAGTCGACAATACAAATCAAACAGGCGCTCGCAACGAGCACGAGCCTTTGCCAGGGTTGTATCGTAAGCAGGGTTGTATGCGAGCAGAGTTGCTCACGGATATATAACAGAGCTGTGTGACAATCCATTAAGCGCCAAAAGCTAAATTTGAATAAAAGTCGTTTAATATTTTTTGGTTACTTTTTTATGTTTTCTATTTACTTAACGTGTTACACTTTTTGGGTGTAGAGCCTTATATTAAAATATGCTTAAAAACTAAATCAAATGAATTCAGATTGCATACAACTCTCTCGCTCTTTCTCTCTATCATCTGTTTTTATAAATAACTAAAACTAGTAAAACACAAACACAAACCAAACAATGATGCTTGCTCACTTTAAAAAGTTTAAATATACAATACATACATGCAATTATAAGTTTAAAAAGTGTGACTGAGTGTGTGCAATGTGTGTGTGTGTCTGTTGGCGGTGGCTGGGAACAATAGTTGCATAAAACTTAGAACAGTTTTGATAATATAGTAGATAGTTTGCATCTTTATGATTGGGGATTTGGATTTCTAAATATTGGGTACAGGGTATTTCGTTCTGTGGCAAGCGAGCAGAAATATTTGCAGTGCGGTTGTAAAGTTCATTGTAATTTTTATATATGATTATTCTGTTTACTATATGTATAGTTAAGATCGGCTTATACTAAATTAAACATTACGAGGTTTTTAAACAATTTATAATAGCAGCACAAGATTTAATAAGTAGATGCTTTTAGTTTAAAGTTTTCTATTTTTCTTTGCTTTTGTTTTTTTTTCTGTTTTGTTTTTCTCTTTTGCTGTGGTCTAAAATACATTACAAAAGATTTACAAATTACAAATTAGACTACATATTCTGTTTTATGCTCAATGAATTTTGCCCCAATTTTGGATGCTTACATTGTGATTTCTCTTGTCAGTGTTTTGGGAAAACATATTTAGGTACAAATTATACACGCTCACATCAAATAGTCGATCAATCGATCAACCAATCAATCCCTTCAATCCAGTGTTCTGTATACAAAAATACAAATTTCGCATCACTTAAATGTACACATCAGTTTTATTTTATTCACAGCTAAGGGCCGGCGGTGGCGCCTCCGCCTGATGGATCAATCACTCGACGTGGCCGCCACCAGGTTGTTGTTGTTGTTGCTGCTGCTGCTGCAATTATTGTCGCCGGGCGTTGTTGGCGCCGCTTCGCAGCTGGGCGTGGCTGGCGCATCCCGCTGCAGCGGACTGCGCAGGCTTGCATTGTGTATGGATATGCAGGATATGGATTTTGGTATGTTTGGCGTATAGTTGGACTCCAGATTGAGCCTAAGCTTGACAGGCGAGTTACGCTTGAAGAGCGCCAGCGGCCGCGAGGGCGACAGCAGCGCCGGCGCTGCAGGAGTAGCGGCGGGTGCGGGCGTGGCAGCAGCATAACTATTGGGCGCACTAAACGGCCGCGACGATGACATAGAGTAGATGCCGCTGCTGGTGTTGGAACAAGGTGAATCCAGCTCGGTGGCAGCCGCAGCTGCCGAAGTGCAGGGGGTCTCGTCCGGTGTGATAGGCGGTGAGGTTAGGCGCGATGAGCAATTGCTGCCGGCAAAGCTGCCAGCACCGCTATCCACATCATCATAATCATAAACATCCTCATCCATGGCCTCGCTATCCGATTTGGATTTACTTTGCAACGGGCGCGACGATGGCGCCAGATGTGCTACAGCAGCTGCTGCCTCCTGCTCGGGCTGCTCCACGAGCTGACTAGTTGTGGCCGCTAACGGGGTTTGCGGCGTATGACTGCTGACAATGGGTGTTACGGGCAACGGCGCCAGGACGCCGCTCTTGCGCAGACTCTGCTCCAGCTCTAGCAGCTGGCCCATAAAGTTCAGATTGGGCGAAATGATGGGCCGGGCCACTTTCACCAGCTTGTAGGCCTCCAGCAGCGAGAGCGACTTATACCGCATGACGTAGGCAATGGCGATGGTGGCGCTGCGCGAGATGCCCGCGTGACAATGCAACAAGACGCGCGAACCTGTTTTGCGTGCATCCTCTGCAAGAAAGAGAGAAAAAGAGTTGTTTAGCACTTTTTTAAATGAAAATTACTCTCTTATCAGCTGATAAGGCGCCACGATTTGCATCAACAAATGCCAATTAGTTGGGCATTGAAAAAAAAAATTAATAAATAAATAAATAAGAATTCCAGTTCAGCAGCAGCTCGAAAAATTTATCGACAACGCAAAATGATTGCTGCCAACCTACGCGCTGCACTGCTCTCGCGCTCTCTCCCTCTACAAGCACACACAGGCTGCGCCGCTCACAAACTTGCGCATGTATTGAGTTGGGAGAAACTTTTTGTTGCCGCGGGCTTTTAAGCTTTGATGATGTTGCTGTTGCTGCTGCTGATATTGGCGCTCGCTCAGTGCTGTCAATAATTTGTAATTGTATGCGTATATTGCTCTCACGCTAGCGTGTGTGTGTGTGTATGTATGTGTGTGCGTGAACTGTTTGCTGTGCAATGGATGAGTCATGCAAACGCAAAGCGCTGCTGCTTTATTGACAAACACAGCAATCGAGAATATTTACACACACACACGCGCGCGCACATTAACTCATAATTTACGTTGTTATTTTTGGGCAAGATAAGCCAGTCGAGCCAGGCAGCGTACGCAGCTTCGAGTTGTTTTTTATTTGTTTCCTTTTTTATGGGGTGGTGCTGAAATAGCAACCACCCTACGCAGCGCAACTTTTATGCCTGTGGCTGGCTATCTAATCGCAATAGGGGGGCGCGAGCACAGGCCTTGCAGTTGCTAATCAATGATTACTCATACAGATACACATGTACACACATACATATGCATTTGTTTGTATATATAAACATTTGTGTACACACTTGTCTGATTTCCAAACACGCAGCGCAGCTGATAAGCTGCATTTTGAGCCTTGCAGTCAGTGAATTGGTATTAGTCATCGCTTGTCGTCAGCGGACACTTCGCCAGGCTGGCGCCCCTGTGGATCGTCCAGCCGTTATTGACACTACACCCACCCTGCCCCTTTTTACACCACACACTAAACCAGACAACCAATAATGGTTATCAGTGATAAGCGTTTTGGGAAGCTACACATCGCGTGTAAATCCGCCAGCAATTGCGCCTGGAAATTTCGAGTGATTCGCAAAGTCAATTTACCACAATACAAGCCCAGTACGCACACACACACACACACAGGCACATTCGATCTATCAATGAATGAGTGCAAAGTGTTGGCCTGATAAGAAACGAGCGACTGTTTGCTGTAGCTGTACGTACTACGAGTAACGGTATTAAAAATAACATCAAAAAACAAAAGCTGTCTTTCCTTCCAAAGGGGTTTCAAGTATGGCCCGGAAAAATCAAATCAAGTTAGCTGACGCTTATCAGCACCAGGCAATGATAACCATAAAAAAATTGAACGAATTGGCAAGCGACTAGGCAAACAACGATGATATTGCAATTATGAGTCGTAAGGGTGGAAAACCCACAATAAATAATAATAGTCATAAATAATATAATAATGATAATCTCATTCTAGTACAGTGAACACCTGAAATGTTGCTAAGATAGTATGTCGAAGAAATGTGCTTCGTCTTACCATCCCGTCCCCCCCACACTATGTACGAGAAAAATGTTGTTAAGTAACTTCGTTGTTTAAAGTCCGTTCTTTGAAAAGTTTTTGGGGCTCAGGAGACCGAATGTATCTTACTCTTAAAATCCATTTTTATCCACTTTAAATCAATTTAAGTTTAGCTTCAGATGACAAAAAGTTGGAAACTATGAAAATGAGCTACCGAATGAATTTATCCGCTTATAGCGTAGTTCGTTAGTAGAGTTTCACTGTAATAAATTAATGATAATAATAATGATAATGATAATGAATAATACAAGTGCCTAGTTACAAGCACATCAGCTGCCTCTTTTGGGCTATGGATGGTGTCTATAAATTCGCTATTTTAGGCTAGCCAAAAATAAACACACTCATCAGAGATATACACACACGTGTGTGTGTGTGCGTGTCTTTTGTCGTCAGCAGACAACTGGTCACCGTGCTCATGGTGCTCATAAATCCTCTTAGTTAATGACCCCGTCGCTCAGACAGTTAAAACCGCGCATAAAACGCGCCATAAACGCGCCCGCCCCAAGTGACTCATTTGCCAGGCATTGGCCACAGACACTCCAAAGAAAAAGAGAGAGAGAGTAAGAGAGAGGCCTCAGACAGTGGGCCAAGAAGTATTAGCCCGTCTTGGACTAGGCTAAAGATTTACGCAGCGAATCAGGCAACACTCGAAGAGGGGGAAGAACTTGCCAAACAACTTGATGTTTTTGCTCTACAGTGAGATCATTTTAAGCGGAACTCGGAATTAACTCATATATCACAGTTGAGTAATAGAACAGCTCAAGCATCAGCTGATAAGGATAGTGGAAATTTCAGATAGAAAAATAATACAATTCTCAGATGAAGGAAATCTCATGAAATATGCATAATATAACAGATTAAATAATAAAGCAAGGAAATTTTGAATGAAGAATGATATAATAGTTAATGCTTGACAGCACACAATAACTGTTTCTATAGGATCTATATGATACAGTCATATATGGTACAGATTTCTTGAAAAAGAGTTTTTCTCGTTACACATTTGTTGAGTACCTTTTAATGTCCTATGACACAATAAATGACTTTGCAATATGAGTTAAAATGACTTCTACTGTCATTCTGGGAATTCGCCTAGGCTAATCTTGAGATTAGATTTTATTTGGATTAAGCAATGGTATAATCACAAGCTATATGACATGAGCTTTATAGATAAGACTGAAAGATCCTTGTTTGTGCTTCTATATTTTGTCATGCAATACATATATTGGAGCAATATCTTTAATCTCCAGCACTGACTAATATGTTATATAAAATATACTTAAAGTATATAACAAGGAACTGGATGTATTGGATAAACACAGTAATGGAAATAAGAACTGAACTATTTATATATAATTGTCATGCATTGGAAGTCTTTAAAATAAAGTTATTATTTTGTAAATATTTATGTATACTTTAAATTTTATATATTTTAAACTAAAGAATTTTAAAAATCCTTTGAAATTGGATCATAAGAAATCTAAATTTAACATATAGTATGTGAATGTAGTTTTATATTCATAAATTGTTCAATAATTTTCATCATTCACGATCAAAAATGGGATCTGAGTTAAGATGTTGACTATATCATATAGAGATCTCATGGAAAAAAGCGATCATTCATTTGATTTCTTATGGAAAAACAAGAGAGTGCTCGAGCAGTAACTATTATGAGTATAATACATATTTTATAGGCCCAGTAAGCTATTTTAACTGAGAATTGCATTGTTCTTCCTCTTACATGGTTTTGTTATAATATTAACAATAAAATCTTAGCTTCTTCTAGGCTAGTATCAGTAAGTTCTATTCTTGCGTCAAATATCAAAGATCAGATTTTATTTGCAAATTGAAATCGGAATGTTCTAATTTGCGAAAGATCACATATTTATGGCATTTATAATTTGGATTAAAATATGATACTATTCAGAAAACTGTTGCAACATGAACATTCCTATTAGATGAGACGAGGCATTAAAAATTCCAAGACATATCTTCAACGGAAGCTATGTAGTCATCATATAAAACGGAACTCGGACTGTAGCTTGAGATTGGGGAAACCGTCTGTTAACGGGGGATTTATCGGAAAAGGCGTTTAGGTGGTAATTGCCGATAGGTTGGCCATATGCATATTGTTCATGCGATATTGTGTATGGTGTGATGAGGGGTGGGGTGGCGAGTGATTAGTAATCATCAATTACGGTGCGACATTTATGACTAAACGCTGTGCCGCGCATAGCCCGGCGATGAGTGGCTCGAATCGTGTCTATTAAAGCGCAGTCCCCGGCCATTCATAGGGCTGTCACCGACGACGCCGTCGTCGTCGTCGTCGTCGTCGTTGTCGTCGTGACTCCATTTTTGGGGCGTCAATGCGGCTGATGCGTAATGCCAACTTTGGGTAGCCAAAGTAGCCCGTGCGACCGTCCGACCGTGCAACAGCAGCCGGTGGCGGCGGCGGCGGCGTCGCCATTGCGTTCTTTTGTGCGTTATTTGGCCCCGGGGTGTGCGTCACAGAGAGAACTGGGCCAACAGACGGTCCTATGTGCGGACAATGATGTTGTTCCCATTCCTCAAATCATTCTCACTTTTGGCGATGATGTTCATGATGATTAAGCCGGCGCAAGGGTCACACTGATTGCTGTTCGGGTTACCTTGCAACACACATGGCAACTCCTCTGAGTCATGGCCAGAAACACAGAAACGGAGAAAGAGCGAAACAACCACCAGACCAGAGCCCGGCAACATGATATCGTTATATGACTGTTCCTAACTATGTGTCTGGGTCTGTTTGTGTGTGTAAGTGTGTGTGTGTGATGTCTGTGTCTCGCCGGGCAACAAGTAGTTTGTTTGTTTTAAAATATTTAATTACTTTCGAGTTGCTGTTAATACCCTGTAGTCATTAAAATTGGTCTGTAAATGGGGGATTATCATTCCCTGAAATCGATATTTATCGATTGTCAAATCAGTTTTATTGACCATATATCGACAATAATAACTTCAACCTAATGCAACTTTCTTGGTTACTCAAAAATCGATAAATATTGATCTTCAGCCGCACTTTCTTGTTACTCAAAACCATGTCTTGAAGTTTAGAGGAACAAGAATCATTCAATCTTAGCATGTTTAACTAGTAAAATAAAAGCTGCCTTTAAAATTGGCAAATATTGTAGAGGAAAAATCCCCATTTTTCGTATATACGCGCATTTAAAGGCCAAATCCAAGACCTGAAAGTTTCATAACAATCGGGCAACAAATACAAGAGTTATTCAAGTCTGTAATTTCCAAAGTGTGAAGCTGAGGAAAGATCTGACGTGTGACTGTGTGTGTTGTTGTGTCCGTGTGAGTACTATGAGTACCTCATAGTCGGGCACTCCCGCGCTGGTC